AAGAAAAGATACGCTGAGAAGAGAGAGAGAGGATGAAAGAGGAGAGAGCGGGGAGAGAAGAGAGATTAGGGAGAGAGCGAGAGGAGAGGATTAGAGGGGACGAGAAAGATTGGAAGATATGTGGAGGTGGTTTCGACTACATGCTTCGCGTGCTACTCTTGTGCCGTTGCACTTGCTTAATATGTATATGTGTGTGCGTGCGTTGGATTGTGGAATGTCCTGGTTACTTATGTGTTAACTTAAGTATCTACTTATACTACATTTTCTTAAGATGAGAGTACTTGCAATACTTGCAGGCGAGCGTGCTTTCACGGAGATCAGCTCGAGATATAGTATATCAGTGAGCGTTTTCTTTCTGCTAAGTGTTATACACACTAACTAATCTTTCCTCAATTAATGCACTACTAGTGTGCAGTCGAATTCTCTAAGTCGCCGGTGATTGCTTTAGACGTTATTTACTACACATACATAGCGGTTGTCTTGTCAAATATAAAACTCCGTCTATGTTGGACAAACACTTGTCTCTATTGGAATATCAGACATCATTGCCTTTCTTGTTGTTACCGTTAATACTCTTTAGCATTAATACTTGCTCAACTTTTACTTGGCCAAGTCTGACTTCGCTGTTTATCACATCTTCTTTCTCTGCTCTTTCTGTCTTTATCTCTCTATTTTCCTCTCATCTCTTTCATCACCAATATGACAATGAATTGGACGTATTCTGTGTTCGTATATATATATTGGAGATGTCAGGTTTGAACGGTCATACCGCTGTTTTCTTATCTTTTATAAGGTTTAGTAGTATATCCATGCTACTAAGTTCATAGTTCTTTAATCATGGGCCGCTTGACAGCCATCACCTTTTCACAAGAGCGAGTATCTTCTAATGCCACAAGAATTTTACTTGATTTAAGGTTTAACTATAGATGTGAGTTTGTTTGCTCGCCTGTGCACGGCAGCAGCGTACGTTCTATCCTTTATTGCCGGTAGTTTTTTACGCAGTGATTCATTTGTCTCATCGCTGAGTTCCTCAATTCTAGCGCATAAATAATTTTTTGATATTAGTTTTTCTCATAGGTCCCTTTATAGTATGTCTCAATTTGCGTGTCATAGTTTCTCTCGTAGCCTGCTTGCGCAGATAGGCCGTGTGTGGGTTCCGTTTGCAGGCGAAGCGAGAAGACCGTCCTGAGATTTAAGCGTCTCCCGTTTCCATGGTGACGATGATACTCACGCTCCCTCTCTCTCTCACTCACAGGTGGTTTCAGGGCTTCGACTGGGACGGCCTCAACAGACAAACCCTCGTGCCTCCGATCCTGCCTACAGTCAAGTCGCCGACCGACATGTCGAACTTTGACAGCTATCCGCGAGACGTTTCCTCGCCACCTGACGACCTCTCGGGCTGGGACACCGAGTTCTAGAGGGCGCCAGGGCTGGGACGCCGAGTTCTAGAGGGCGCCACGGCATGAAGGCTGGGACGCCAAGCTCTAGAGGGCGCCACGGCATGAGGGCTGAGACACCGCGCTCTAGATGGCGCCACGTGACGTCTCCTCGCCGCAGAGCGAAAATGGCTAGGAGGCTATGTTCTAGAGGGCGCCACATCACGGAGGCTGGGTCGCTGAGCTGTAGGGGGCACCACATGATGTATCCTTGCTGGGGAGGGAAGACTCCGCGAAGGCTGGGACGTCCAGTGATAGAGGTCGCCACATGCACGGGATACGAACGTCAGGAACAGCTGCGGCGTGAAGATGCTGATGGAGATGTGCGTCGCGTCCGTCGTCATGGAGACGAGCATCGGCCCGTCGTCGTGGAGATGCGCGTTGCGCCTGTCGTCGTGGAGACGTGCGTCGCGTCCGTCGTCGTGGAGACGTGCGTCGCGTCCGTCGTCGTGGAGACGTGCGTCGCGCCCGTCGTCGTGGAGACGTGCGTCGCGCCCGTCGTCGTGGAGACGTGCGTCACGTCCGTCGTCGTGGAGACGTGTGTCGCGCCCGTCGTCGTGGAGACGTGCGTTGCGCCCGTCGTCGTGGACATGATGGCTGTGGCAGCCACTTGTTTCTAGAAAAACTTGTAAATATTACGCGCATCAGTGTCATCGTCGAGAGAGACAGACAATTGAACAGCTGATGGCGGCGTATATTTTTGTACACGGGCGTGGATGAACGTTTTAGTTCAACGCGCCGCGCGTGTGTTCTCGTAAAACTGGGTTGTGACATCACCAGGTGGCAGCACCAGCTCGCGTGTGTGGATCCGGGACTGTGTGTGACGTGCAGTGTTGACATCTGCAGGCGATAGTGACGCCATCTGCTGAGATACTGAAAGCAGTGTGCGAGTGAGCGGTCAGTGGTTGCTGCCGATGGCACTGTGGGTGCAGGGTGCTGCTGCTGCTGCTGCTGCTGCTGTCGCTGTAGCTGCTGCTGGTGCTGGTGCTGCTGTCGCTGTAGCTGCTGCTGCTGCTGCTGCTGGTACTGCTGCTGCTGCTATCGCTGCAGCTGTCGCTGCTGCTGCTGCTATCGCTGCTGCTGCTGCTGCTATCGTTGCTGCTGCTACTGCTGTCGCTGATGCTGCTGCTGCTGCTGTCGCTGCTGCTGCTGCTGCTGCTGCTGCTGCTGCTGCTGCTGCTGCTGCTGCGCGTAACACACTGTAACTCACAGTCATAGATGCCGCACTGTACCGCCGCGACGTTTTCAAGCCGCGCAAGAATGCATATGCGTGCGTGCGTGCATGCGTGCGGGTGCTGCATTCTGTGAGATTTGCGATCACTGTGTGTGTATTCGGTTTGTTGATTTTATTCCGCGTTGGGCTGACGTTTTGTATCGGCGCCATCGTCTCTGCACCAAGAAAAGTTCAATTCGCGCGGACGTTGCGTCTCTTAGTGTAGTCTGCTGGCGCCATCTAGTGGCCACCGCAGCAGCAACGCAGTAGCTTCTGTGTGAGCAGATATTTAAGTTGAGGGGCCGGAAGGAAAGCATTTACCGGAAGAGTCGCGAGCGCGAGAGACGGGGGGGGAAAAAATATAAGCATCATGTGATGTGATCGGCACTCCTGCTGGACGATGCTTCGCGATGCTTCGTGCGAAGTTGGCTTCAGTGACGCCCCCTAGTGCCGGAATTTCTGTCGGCATGTGCAAGGCGGTGTGGGGGAGCTAGCATCGCCCGGTGCCGCCCTGTGGTGGCCAATAACAGTTGTAGGAGCGTTATATATTTTTGCATTTTTAAGCGACGTAGCGACGCGCCGCGGTACGGTCTTTCTTTATATGTCACGTGGGCTATCGGTGCGCCACCTATGTTACCAAAATTGACGCGTCGCTAATCCGGCCGCGTGCAGAAGGCTGACACGTGACGTGACGTCATTTCAACAAGAGGGCATCAGATGAGATTGTAGCAGTATGTCTGCACATGCTGCAGCACGACCTTTAAACGACCCCTAGCCTTAACC